TCCGATCTCCCCAAAACCCCAAAACCCCGAAGTATTTGCCAGGTTATGAATTTGTTGGCAATAATTAATAAAATAATTTTGAAAAATTCATAATGGGAGTTAAGGGATTATGGGCACACTTAGCCCCTGCTGCCAGAAAAATTAACTTAGAGGATCTTGAGGGCCAGGTACTAGCTATTGATGTTAGTATTTGGATTATTCAGTTTATCAACATCATTTAAAGAAAAAATGATTACAATGTGATAGATGGTTTCTTAAGAAGAATATGCAAACTACTTTTCTTTGGAATAAAACCAATTTTTGTGTTTGATGGTGCTACTCCACAGATAAAGAAGAAAACTCTTATGACTAGAAGAACTTAAAGATAAAAGCTGTAGGTTAATTATAATAAGGCTGCAGAAAAACTACTACACAACATAGTAAAGGAAACACTCTTGAAATAGATCTAAGCAGGCTAATAAAGAGATCAAAATTAAGAAATAAGTTCTTTGATGGATGATCAAATGAATCAAGTTAATAATGAAATTAGATAGAATAAACAAGGAGAAGAAGATGAGTATAATTAAACACAGTACTTGCAAATCAAAGATACTAATCTGGGGGAGTTTATTTCAACTGGAGATGAAGGCAATTAAATGACTAAGATTTTATTGGATAAGTATGCAGGCTTGCTTGAACAAAATCAGATTGACTTTGATATATTTGGTCAACTAGATTTAGAAGAGCAATATGAAGTCATCGATGAACTCGAAAAAAACTAAAGAGATTCAGTGAGAGAGAGATTCGCTGAGATTCAAGATGATCTTACATAGTTTTCTGAAGTATAGGTTTCTAATTTCATTAGAAACATAAAGGAAAAGCATAGATAAAAAGAAATTTTAATTAAAGCAAGTGAGGTCGAACTCTAAGCATTGGGAGAGGAGGAAGGTATTAAGGAAAGTAGAATAGCATCAAATGCAAATCTAAGATACATTTACAGAGATAATTATGGCAAAGACTAGGCTAATGGAAGTGCTAGATTCCTCCCTAAAAGTGTTGTAAACATAATAGAAAGAGCAAAAATGAAGAGAAAAATGCCTAGAGGGAAAAATAACCTTGAAAAATTATTCAAGGAAGCTGAAAAATAGACTGTTGATTTCATGGCATAGCAAGAAATATATGGAAAAGCTCCATTAGATATAATAAAAGCATAGGTTCAAAAAAATAAACAAGAGCAGGCCTAAGCAAACAACGAGGAGGAGAAAGAAAAAGAGAGGTAGAGACTACTGGAGTTATAAAAATTTCAAAAGGAAAGGGAAGAATATATTGATTCATTAGTTGATGATTTGTTTGGAGGAGATAATGTAGAAAGCTAAGGGGATGATTTTAATTTTGGATTCTTTAATAGTTACACTCTAAATTCAGAATTACAGAGTAACATAATCATTTAGCATCCAGCTTAGTTAGCAGATTAAAAGCATTTAAAAGATATAGAACTTAATTAGTTTGTTCCAGAAGAATTTTAAGATAATTAAGTTCAAGTTTAGGCAAATAATACTAAAACTTAACTCGGAAAAGATTCTGATAATTAAAAGTTTAGTCGATTTACTAAAAATGAGAATGATTTAGATCAGTAATAAGATGAGAATATTAACGTAAGTTATCAAAAATAATAAGATAAGGTTATTCAAGATGTCAAGTAGTCAACTCATATCCAAGTAAGACAGTAAAACTTGACTACTAATGAAAAACTTGACTCATATCATAAGCTTTAAGCAAAAGAATCAAAGGTTGAGAGTAATGATCTTCCAGTTTCAATTGTTTAATATGCTTATAATCGTCTAATCGATGTTAATAAAAATCTCAGTCATTTCAGAGATGAAAATGATCTATAGAAATAGCCTAACTCCTCTCCTAAGATGACTAATACTAGAAAGAGAAAAGCCGAAGATACTACTGAAGAGTTTTTTGTGAAGACTTTATAAGAGGAAGATAAAATAGATAAAATTGCTGAAGACGAGCAAGATAAACAATAATCTACGGAGGTGAAATTAGCTACTTTCGATAACTATGAAAAAGTAGATTTTGAGGATTTTGATAATCAAATAACCTAAGAGCATTCAAATTAAAGTGGATTCATAAGGCCATATAACTCTTATAATAATTAAGATCTGGAAAGATTAAAGCAGGATATTTTGGAGGAGAATATTTATCTTATCTCTGAACTTGAGAAGACAGCCAAACATTTTACATATTTCAGTTAGGAAAATACATAAGAACTCAAGACTCTACTTAAGCTTTGCGGAATACCCTATGTTTAAGCCCCATTTGAAGCAGAGTCATAATGTGCTTATTTAGAATAAATAGGTCTAGTAGATGGCGTTATTACTGAAGATTCTGATGTATTATTATTTGGAGCAAGAAAAGTTTACAGAAATATATTCGATAGAAATAAATTCGCAGAGAAGTATGATATGAGAATCATAGAAAGAGAAATGGGATTAGATAGAGAGGATCTTATTAAAATGGCTTTATTTTTAGGTTCTGATTATACACTTGGTGTAAAGGGTATTGCCTCAGTTAATGCCATTGAAATTATAAACTGTTTCTAAGGTGATGATGGACTAGAGAGATTTAAAAAATGGGTTGATATCAAATAGTAAATACTAGATCAGGCAACTAAATAATCTGAGGAAGAGGGTCTCTAAAAAAAGAAATCTTAGAAGTAAAAACTTCTAGAGGCTATCGAATCAGCTTTGAATGATGAGGAAATAGAAAGAACCTAAATTGAAATAGAAAAAGAATACAAATTGAAACATAAAAATTGGCGTAAACATTGGGAGTTTCCATAGGATTTTCCCAACTATGAAGTGATTAAATCTTATAATACACCTGCAGTCGATTTATCGAAGGAGGAATTTAGTTGGGGCACACCTGCATTTAGAGAGTTAAAAACATTTGCAAGTATGAAACTAGGTTGGGGTAATAAAGAATTGGAAACATACTTTGATATGGTGTAGAAGAGAGTGATTGAAAGAGAAGCTAAAGATAAGAAAAAGGGAACCATAGAGTAATATTTCAAAAAGGAAGAGAAATTCGCAAATATAAAGAGTGTTAGAGTCATAAAAGCAGTCAAAGACTTAAGGTAAAAAAAGAAAAAATTTAAAAAGAACGAATGATTAATTTGAGTTAGTTCACTTTATGGTAATTCATTTAAATTTAATTTCATAATTTCAAAAGATTTCAAAAGATATACCAAAACATTTAATTATAAATATTTTAATAACGAATAAACTTAATCTAGTCTACCCTCGGGGTTTTTGGGGTTTTGGGG